CCGGTTAATATGAATAATTACCGACATCCGCGGTAAAAGTGATAAATTAATCACATTTAACAGTGATTATTTGATAATTCAACCTTAGTAGGGCAGCTGACCCGGTTTTGGCCATTTCTGAAAATGAATCGATTACTTATATCAAAATAGCTAAGTAATTAAATTGAAAAATCACGATAAAAACTAAATGGCCAAAAGTGGGGTTCTTCGTGCACCACTTTTGGCCATTCATGTGGCCAAAGATGGGAAAATTCATTCATTCTGGCTCCATTAGTGGCCACCTCTCATAAACCCCTTAATAAACAAATAGCGATAAAATATCATTAGTACCACTTAAACAGTGTATTCTTTATTAAGGATTAACATAAACATTTAAAAAAATAAGAAGGATTTAGAAAATAATGATTGTTTACTCACCTGCTCGCCTTAGCCTTTTTGCTAAGACTTAAAACAATTAACGCTTCTCAAAAAACAATGACTTGTTGGATTGAAGTGAAGCTTGACACATCAAAGCTGTTAACGCTATCAGTGTTGCTAATATTAGATATTTTTATTCCCGTAAACCATAGAGTAATATATTAGTCTTTGCCTTAGTTATAACGATTTGAAGTTCTAAATGGCCACAAAGGGGTCGGTGGCCACAACCGGGTCACTTGCCCTACTAACAAATTTCATACAAGAGAACAACATCTTGTGTACGTGCTCGTGTACAGCCAAACTTTTGAACGTTTTGATATAATATATGAATATAATTTGGCATAATGAGTTTGGAATGTTTCTTGCATAATATTACTTTTCCATGGTGCCTATAACGTAATGTTTTGATTTAAAGTGAAAAATAGGTTAAGGTGCGGCGGCTTAGGGGTGGCCCAAGGGCCACCCCTAAGCCGCCTATTTAGTTTTATACACACATAAATGACCTCATATTAATCACATTTACCAAATCATGCGGTAATTATTCATAATAACCGGCAATTATTCATAATTTTCACATTTATCACTTTGACCGTAACATATACACAAAGTTTGTTTTTAATAAAATACTATAAACATAATTTAATTATTTATAACATTTAAAGTCATAAATATTGTCTATAAGAGCAACCAACATTGAAGAGTAAATAATTATGTATTTGTGATGGCATTGGTTTAGATGCCAATAAATTTTATGCCTAGAAATCGTTATTAAAAAAACAAGAATACAGAAAAAATATATACTAAAATATTATTATAATAAAAGTGGTTATGGCAAAAAAAATATGCCTTAATGATTTATTATGTATGAACGTTATGCGAAATGATGAGTATGCCAAAAAACTTTATGCACTCTTAAATTATGACAATATTTTTTATGCAACCGAATATGGACCCGTTACGTGCATACTGCGTACATTTTATCGCTTTTCTATATGCAAGTAATATCTCATTCCTTAATTACACCGAACACGGACACCGAAAAAATGCAGTTACGGCCGTCAGTAATGCAAGCAGTTGGCTGTGAACAAAACGTTCATGTGAACGAGGCCTAGGTAAGTACGTCCTCTGTCTTGTCCGTGTAAAGAAAAAGAAAAACTGCTTTTAATTTGTACGCCTATAAAACGTTTTGTCAGCAGGCCAAATTTTTACTAACCACCTAAATGTATCCTACAAACTTGCATTTCCCAAAAACATAATGCAAGGTGAGAACTGTGCAATGAGGAGCAAGCTTGAACTTAATCGTCTGCGCAAACATATGGATGCAGATCCTCGCCTTGAAATATCGCCCGTAATACTTCAGGCTTACGGGAACGCCTACAGTTGCCTCGAGTGGAAATTTGAAAATTGCTCCATAACGTTTTGATTTAAAACGCCTGTGCTAGCCGTTTCGGGTCATTACATTACATTGTGTCTTATTTGTATTCAGAGGGGTTAAGTATGCTGTACAATGTGTACGACGCATTTTGTACTAATTTGAATATGTACAATACCTATAAGCACTAAAACCTGTTCGATCATAAAGGTAGGTATATAATTCTAGAGCTCAAATACTACCACTATTTGTAAGTATGAGACTAACATCAAAAATTTTCGTTAACCAAACCATACTTTCCATATTATTTAAATCAATAAAATTGTGACATCTGATGGGTCAATAAAGATGTGATGTCTTGCTATTATGGTATATTTAATTACTTTCTATAATTATGATACACTCATTATGACTAAAAGCACCGGTTTTTAGTTTGAAGTATGTCTGTATGATATGTTTTTCAACTAATTTGCGCAGATAAAAACTAACGAAAGAAGATCACGATTTCCCAAATTTGCCCACAAATCGCGTTATAAATACCCATCTATGCCCAAGTCACTTCCATTAAAGCCCCTATAACCCTAACTATTACTACTCCCATCACCGTAGCTTCTGCATTATTTATAGAGTACGTGCATCCTCGTAAAAGTAAATTACATTACAGGCAGATCTATAACTCCTGGAAAAATATCCATAAAACTTGTCATCAGCATAAGTAATCATCATTCCGAGTGAATTTCGAAAATGTCGGATTTTCATGGTACCTTTTGATATAAAATATTATTTTATTACTGGCTAGACTCACGGCGTCGCCCGAGTGTATTTCGGTCTGTCACTTATAAAATCTTTATTGAGCGTCCCATCATGAAACTATTCCAATGAAATAATTTCAATTACTTAAAAAAGTTTCAATTACTTAATTAGGACTTAATTTCATCTCCTCTTTACCCTTTTAAGTTTTATCGGAATTAACGGTAAATTCATTCCTTTTGAAAAGTCCATAACTCATCAAAATTGGTTCAACTGTAGGTGTGAAAAATGTAACCAAATTAACATTTGGTTTGTTAGAAACCATGTTAATCCGAAGTTAATACCACTGTTCCAACTTTAAAGAAACTGGAATTTATTTTAAATGCTACTATGATACTTTTTTCTTGGGCCTAAGTATACAAACGAGCCATTAAAATAATGATGTAACTGAAATTTTCTTCCATAAATTGCTACTGAACATTAACTTACTCATAGTAACGGCTCAATCTCGTCATTTTTCATCTAAAATTAGATTCCGAGCTCACGTAGTTTGAATGAGATCGCTTCGATATCGATATCTGATGATATACTATTTCGCTTGAAAAGCCGCCGAAATGAATGATGTTCGGGAAATTTAATTCGATTGGGAGGTCCAATTTATGTCTGTCCCCGTTTAGATGAACGTTTTAGTGCTAATTTTTTATGTTTGATGAAAGCTAGTTAAGTTTTTATAATAATTAGTGGTTATTAATTTATTACAGATACTGGCCATCGGAATAGTATTTATTCCGGATTACTAAACGACTATTTTTTTAAATACTTATTAGGTACTTACTAAGTTAAAAGTTTAGACCTCTGCAGCTCTGGAGACTTTTATATTCTGATTTCATGTTTACCTACTCTATAATGATTCACTTTTTATCTTTTTTTTTACCAAATCCAGTTATGTAAATGTCAAAATCTTCTGCAACCAAACATTTAAACAAATGCCATCACTTCTGCCTTCTATTTCTCCACCTCTCAAGTATAATTATTAAATTTCCAAGAGCATCCCCTTTCGTATCACAAAGCATCGTAATTTCTCACAGTCCGACCGACAAATCTACATACAAAACGAAGGCACGGTAAGTATGAAAAAAGGCCGTTGGAGCGGCCGATAGGTCGGCCGGCGGTTACTTTATGGGGCCCATTATTCACGGGGAGCTGCCACCTGAACAATCTTTCCTGCATTGCAGTCGGACTTTCTTGGGGAAAACTGGACTTTTTGGGTACTTAAAAGGTAGAATAGTTGTATTCAAAATTGGAAGTTATTTGGAAAACTAGAAAGGGTAATAATAGCCTCAGACATTTCTTACACAGCTTATTAATCTGTATAAAAATGCAACCGTTACTACGACTGATCTATCAACAAACAGGTCGAATCACTCAATTTTGTTTAAAGTAGGTACGAACAAATACCTTCGAAATCTGGGTGACCGAATCAAAAATTAGGAGATCCGCAGGAAAACCAAAGTAACCGACATAGCCTGCAGAATTGCTAAACTAAAGTGGCAGAGGGCGAGGCATATAGCACGTAGATTCGCTGGGGCAGAAAAGTTCTCGAGTGGCGACCAAAAGCCGGACGACGTAGTGTGGGCAAGCTTCCCACTACGTGGACTGACTATGTGGTAAATGTCGCAGGAAGTGCCTGGATACGGGCAGCACAGGACCGGTCTTTGTGGAAATCCTTCCAGCAGTGGGCATCATTTGGCTGAAACGAATGAAAATTTCGAAAGTCATGATTTGCTAGTCAGTATGTCAATGCAATATTCTGCTTTCTCACACACATCAAATTAAATGATATTAATCCAGAAACACCCTTCTTGCCCTCCATTAATTCTTTAGTAGGTGTCGAATAAACACAATATTCCTTTTAGATACCTAACTATAGGTTTAAATTTCATTCATATAGGGAATTTGTAAAGTTTGAATTGACAGGCCCATATTTTAACACCCTTCAGCTATTGACATTTGCAACGAATATAATGAATAGGAAATGACATTAAGCCAAATTATAGGGCCACCGTTGATATAGGGCTTTGACAATGTAGATTGCATTTTAATTAACTTCTTTTTACTTTATTTTAAAACGATCAATACCGTTTCCGATCATAATAAGGACGCCAGTTCATCAACTTTCGATTTCATTGATTCAAAAGAGTTCAAGATTTTGATTTGAAATAGTTAAGACTATATTTCAAATTAATTGGAGAAAAATAGCAGACTGATGACTTAGGTACTGGATTTATTTGGTATTTTAAAAGTGGAATTCGTCTTCATTTCTTCCACTTTGGATAATTTGAGTCTAAAGCTTGGCAGCAAACATAGCTTTAAATAATTTCGTTTCGACAACCCTGAATAAATATTCTGTATATAAATGCCTTTTAAAGTAAACAGAGAGCAGTCGTCGACATCCTATCAATACGGACAAAAGAGAAAAATACATTTTCCGCAACCAATCTTGTTGATTAAGGATCATTTTTCCATAGCAATGGATATACCGACGTTCGAAGAACTTTTCAAACAAATAAAGTTAAACTTGTGGTTCTTCGGGATCCCGTTCAATGGCCGAAAAATTGAACTTAGATTCTATTTTATGGTGGTAGTGGTTATAATTATGTTAATTGGGGAGATTTCGTTCTTCGTGTCAAGATACGCGCCTGAAAATTTTATGGAGTTAACTCAATTGGCTTCGTGCATTTGCGTTGGGGCTCTGTCCCTACTAAAAATCTTGCCAATTGCTCATAAAAAACAAAAGATATTCGAGCTAACGGAAAGTCTCGACGGACTTTACAACACCATTCTCGAAAACCCTAAAAAGAAAGCGATCATTCGCAGACAAATGATTCTCGTTAAGATTCTAATGAAGTATTTGTTCATAGTGAACATAGCTCTTTTTGTGATTTACAACATTTCTCCGTTGATATTTATGACGTATAATTACATTGAGACAAATGAGGTGGAATTCATCTTGCCGTTTGCTTTGGGTGTTCCTTTCTCAATAGAATCCATGGCGACGTGGTTTCCTGTGTATGCTTACTCAGTTTTTTCCAGTAAGTGAGAAAAACATCTTTAGCGTTCGAAATGGTGTGCTTTAAATAGGTTAGATTGTTCGCTTAGCATTCATAGAACCTATTCTTTAAACACTAACAAACAAACGGTGCAATTTTTTTTCAACAAAAATGTTGAGTGATAATGAAACTTAATTATACAGGCTGTTTGGCGAAAGGTTAGACAAACTTCGTGGGTGTATAGGTAAGGTAATTTTAAGAACTTTTTTCTCGCGTGTTTCAATCTAATCTTTATTTATTTTATATCTAAAAAAAATTAAGCAGTTTTCAGGTCAAATTTCGGAAAAAAAATAATATAAATTTCTGATCCAGATAATGAGAAAAAAATTAGGTCACTTGGAGTCAAGTGGGCGAACTTGTATTCTTAAAATTACCTTACCTATACACCCACGAAGTTTGTCTAACCGTAGGTACTTAGGCAGAGTCGCACCACCAAACTTTAAAAAAAAACAATTCAAATTTTATTTATTTGGTAATAATAGCACACAGCACAATAACCACCAAGATTACAATGTAGTAATTAACTAATTATCCGACCAATTCGACAGGTTATACAATTTTCTTAGTATCTACTTATAAATATTAAAACACTGTAAGTATATCTAATCAAATTTTTACACTAATGTTAATGGCTTTATCGCAGCATGAAAGTTGTTTACAACTTAAGTTTTTATTTTATTGGTGTTAATGTTAATAACCGGTTATTATGAATAATTACCGACAGTCGAGGTAAAAGTGATGAATTAATCACATTTATCAGTAATTATTTAATAATGTAACCTTAATACTAACAAATATCATAAAAGAGAACACCGGCTCATTATCGCATAGGCATTGTTGTGATTATCAACTTGCTTAAAAGAAATAGGTACGTATGGAAAAACTCGCGCGAATAAGCGACTACTCGTAAGTGGCGTAAGTGGCGGCTGTGTTCAAATTTAATGAGGACTACCCACCGCTAAGTTAAAAAACAACTTTGACCGTAACTTTAATGATAACCGGTGTATTTTGTAGGTATGGAGTTTGGACAGATTTTTGAAAGTCAAAGTAAAATGGTGCAACCCAGCCTAAGTAACTTAGAATTTCTTTTATTTAACAAGAAGTTACTTTTATTCCTGCACATAATGTTTCAGGTTTTGTTAGTGTTTCGTACTTCGTGACAGTGGATGCACTGTACTGCATACTAACCACCCACATTTGCAGCAATTTGTCAATGGTAAGCGAAGAATTACAAAACGTCGATACCTCAAACGAAGACGAACTTAAAGAACTGGTTAAGAATCACCAATATATTCTCAAGTAAGCCTCACTAACTCACCTTGTTATAGATTATCTTCTGCTCCTTACTATTTTATGCCGTTGCCGTCGAGGTTAAAAAATAATGGGTGAAATAAAACAAAATTTAAATTATCTGTCTGTTTGAATTCTAATCGAATATTTTAAAAAGAAGACGACTTTTCACCCTAATGCTCTTTCAGCGGCGAATGAATAAGTAACACTCTTTTTCAGGCTATCTGAAAATTTGGAAGAAATCTTTAGTTTGCCCAATCTTTTCAACGTTATGATGAGCTCTCTTGAAATATGTGCGGTTGGATTTAATTTGACGGTGAATATTATTTTTGTTTGAGCACAAAATCTAGTAGTTTATCCAGTGTTAGATGCAAATGTAGGGGTTTTAACTTAAGTTTCATTGGTTACAATAACAGATTATTAGATAAGGCTTACTTGTATTGTATTTTATTATTGGTGGTTTCAGATGGGTCCAGTTAGTGAAATACCAAGGAGCGTCGTCTTTTTATCCTCTGTGTTACTTCAGATTCTGATGCTGAGCGTCTTTGGAGAGAAGTTGATCGAAGAGGTGGGTAAATATCCCTAAATAATAAAAACCAGGCAGTTTTCTTTAAAAATCATTTTTTACAGAGCACGAAAGTGGGTGATGCGGCATACAATAGTAAATGGTATGAAGTGGATCAGAAGACGAAGAAAACTATTCTTATAATCATGACCAGGTACGTATCTATGAGGTACATAGTGATGTATATGAGTTTGTTGAGGCGCTTCTTCTCAGCTCTTGCTAAATATTTGTCTCCAAGCGCTGGTAGGTCAAAAAGGAAAGAGACATAAGTTGACGATTTGTAATAACTAGATAATTCAATTCGTCTTTTATACAAATACATTTAGATTTTTTTTGCGTGTTTAACCAAACTTTGAAATAGTCTTTAAAACTCTAAGAGCTCTTACACACGAGCAGCACATTGACGACAGCAAAAGCGACCGCAGTCGCCGTCACTTGTTGGCAGCTAGCCGTCGACGGGCCCGCAGCAAGCTGTCGACACATCGACGTCTGCCGTCGAGCTTGCTGCGACGACCGTGTCGGCGTACGTCTTTGTACAGGAGCCAGATGAAAATGGATTTCATTGAAGAAACACTGTTGTTGCTTTTACTCCGTCGTCGTCGACGAAAGAGAAAGAACCGGTCATTGTGGGTTTAAGAAATGTTATTGAATAGAGAACGAGACTACACACACCGAAGCCCATGCTCCATTTTTTAATGTTTTATTATGGTAGCCTTCCAAATTCGAGTTCCATATTATTACATTGTTTTTGACAGCACTACTTAATTAGCAATTCCGAATCAATTTGTTCGGAACTCATTAGGTGTGCGTGTAAGCTCCTGGACTACTGACAGTTGACCTTCAAAATGGCGGAGGCGGCTAGCTGTCGCCACCTGTCGGCGGCAGCCACGAACGCGTCGACAGCACGGCGGCGGCATGTCGACAGCTAGCCGTCGCCTTCTGACGTCAACTGCAGTTACATGAGTCGACAGCAAAATGCTGTTCGTGTGTAAGAACCCTAAGGCTGAGTTGCACCCATCTTTGACCGTAACTTTAACGATAACCGGTCTTTTTTGTATGGAGTTTGACAGATTTTTGACGTTTGTCAAAGTTAAAGTAAGATTTTTATTTATTTATTTATTCATGAATAGAACGGCAGTCCAATTACACTATTCAAACAAGACGTAACAAAGTTCAGAATAACATTTAAATGCCTACTTATAAACAATTTAACTTGAGAAAAGTACATAAATCAGATGGTGGAGATGGTGCAACGCAGCCTAAGTTACTGTGTGTACCTGTCTAATAAGTTTGTATTTCAACAGATCTAGCAAACCACAACAGCTTACTGCTTACAAGTTTTCTGTAATATCCTACGGCAGTTTCACGAAGGTAAGTATTTTTCCTTTTAATTCCATTGTTTGAAGTGTTTTAATATTAATTTCTTTTTCACGATCCCATTTGCTACCTACAAATGAAAAGCAAATAAAAATGTGTCTTTGGAAGGTAAACACTTTTATCGAATATATGGTTTTCAGATTTTATTAAAATCCTGATCCTGAATTAACTAAAGTTAAAAACAAACTACTCTCTGTCATCTTACAAATTTTTGTATAAATGATAATACATTTTCGTTTTATTTACTTAGGCTGAGTTGCACCACCTAACTTTGACCGTAACTATGACGATAACCGGTGTCTTTTGTATGGAGTTTGACAGATTTTTCTAAGTCAAAGTTAAAGTAAGATGGTGCAACCCAGCCTAAAAATTGTTATTGAAACATTGCAGTCTTAAATATCGGTAAAACATAATAATACTCAATTTTTGTGTCCATACCTACTCGTATTTATTGTTTCAGATCATTAGTACATCCTGGTCCTATTTTACTATCCTGAAAACGGTTTATAAGCCTCCAGAATAGAAATATCTTAGAACCATTTAATAGAGGAATCAAAAAAGTTTCTGAATGTTCCAGAACTTACTACTCGTAGTCAAATTCAAGACACTATTATTAGAAGCACTAACATTGTAAAAATATATTTAATTAGTAAATAATTTATACTGCTTATGTGTTTGTAATTACTGTTTGAATCATTTTAAGTCTTATTATTATAATAAAATTGTTAGGAATAATTCAAAGTACCTACAGGGTACTCGAACATGTATTTCAGGTATTACAAGGATACTTTAAAAATTAGGTAGGTACAACAGAATATTTTTAACAACCAATATTTTTTATTACAAACAGTCTAAAGTGTTCTTTTCAGCGATGATTTTTCAAACAAATGAAAATGACCTTGGCTTTTCAAGATTCCGCTTAGCGGTACGAAAATTCGTATTAGATTTTATTTCATGCTGATTGCTACAATACTTATGATAATTGAGGAAGGCGGTTTCGTTCTCGTATCAGATACGCCTCTGAAAACTTGCAGGAGTAAACGCGATTGGCTTCATGCGATTATCAGGGTACTTTATCGGTCTTAAAAAACTTCTAGGTTCTGCTCTAAGTAGAACAAATAGCAAGTATTGTTTTGGTTAGGACCTTGCAGATATTGTGAATTAACACGATGGATAAAAAAAACAAAAATGTCGGTCGATATGCGATGGCTGATACGTCATCACTATTTAATGGTGACGATTCATTCGATTTAGTGACAATGCCCTTAGGACAGGAAAAGAAGCAAAACCTTATATACTTTTTAGTTAGCTATCAACTCTTTGCTTCTTACTCAAAAATGTATACAAAAGCAAAGAAAAAATACTCGTTAAAGTTTTAATTAGTTAACTCGTCTATACTAGGTAAACGGGGTCTTTTCTCATTTTTAATTAGATATTTTACTTTACATGACAACTGTAATTTAAAACCCAATTTGCAATACTTCACTTACAAACTACGATTAAATTTTTGCTTCTTTATCTGACAGTTCGAGGTAAATTATTTAATTTTACGGTTCTCAGAAATTGTCAATATAACTTTTTCATGAAAAAGAAATGAAAATAAATTATTGAAAAGCTATAAACTTTACCGTGGCTTAGGAGAGGCCGAGGTAAGTTGTAACAGAGGAGATTTTTGACATTAAAGTAGAGAAACACGGGTCTCAACGCGACATTTTTTATACCAGTTAACTACTGTTGCAAGCTCGCTGAAGTAACACAGGTTTCAAAAAATCTCCCCTACTCCATTTTAAATGTCAAACGATGTAACTTGAATGTATGTAGGCGTTAGATGTGATTACTTAGGTACACATAACCAAACGCCTACTCCATCTTTTTTCGGACTATCTAAAGATTTGGAAGAAATATTTAGGCTGTCCAATTTATTTTACGTTCTTGTGGCCTCTCTTGAAATATGTGCGCTCGGGTCTAATTCAACGGTGAAAATCTTTTTATTTGGAATGAAAAATTTGCTACACGAAAAAGAGGCTCCAAATTCATTAATTTTGAAACATGGTTTCATGTTCTAAGTTTGTCTCATTAATTTAAACATTTTGGTAAGTAACCGGATCCTTGATGAGATCTGCCTAATCTATGATAAATAAGAAAAGTTGCTATACATTGTCTGCAGTTTTATTTGTTACTGAAAGTTTTTGTTTTAGATAATAACATAAGATGGCTAAAATCTGTAAAATCCCAACTAATATTAAAAATGCGAAAGTAACTCTGTCTGTCTGTCTGTCTGTCTGTCTGTCTGTCTGTCTGTCTGTCTGTCTGTTACGCTTTCCCGCTTAAACCTCGCAACCGATTTTGATGAAATTTGGCATAGAGATAGTTTGAGTCCCGGGAAAGAACATAGGATAGTTTTTATCCCGGTTTTTGAAACAGGGACGCGCGCGATAAAGTTTTTCTGTGACAGACAAAAATCCACGCGGGCGAAGCCGCGGGCGGAAAGCTAGTTAGTTCTAAAGCAAAGTAAAACTACAGAGGGCTTATTCCAAATGTCATGTATTTTAAATCGACCTCTATGGTAGAAGTGACAGGTAAGTTCAAATCTATGGGGGAGGTGATTTTACGTCTATCAAATTCTAAAGCCTCTGAAACTTAAGCCCGNTAGTTAGTTCTAAAGCAAAGTAAAACTACAGAGGGCTTATTCCAAATGTCATGTATTTTAAATCGACCTCTATGGTAGAAGTGACAGGTAAGTTCAAATCTATGGGGGAGGTGATTTTACGTCTATCAAATTCTAAAGCCTCTGAAACTTAAGCCCGTTTCCACGATCAATCTCTTATTTTTAAGTGACCACTTACAGGAATTTTGTTTTCAAAGGGGTCACTTAAAATTATGAATTGATGGTAAAATGGACATTAATGACATAGGTACGAGTAAATAATTTATTAAGAGGAAGGCTTGTGAAATATGTACGCTAAAAACGGTCATCCGTTCATCATCAACCACGGTGAAAATTGGTTGACCTTGGCGATCATTACTATAGCGCTACTCCACTGAGCTACAAATTGATAATCTATAATAATTTTGTTATAAATCAAAACCAGCAATAATTAACCTCGTATAAGTTTTCCGTAATAGCCCTCAGCAGTTTCCCCAAATTAAGTACTTTTCCTGTTAAATTAATTCTGTTATTAATACGTGTTTTTATTATCTTACTAGTGTCCGCCCGCGACTTCGTACGCGTGGATCCCGCTTTACCCCCTTCATTAATCTTACGCGGCTTAGATTTTTTCATACAAATGTTTTTCCCGCTAACTCCCGTTCCTGTGGGAATTTTGCAATGTCCTGTTGTAACTAAGCTTTAAGTTTACATGCCAAATTTCAAGCGTCTAACTTAAGCGATATAGATTTTTCATACAAAAGGATTTTCCCGCTAATTCCCGTTCCCGTGGGAATTCTTAAGTATACTATAACCTGCCCAAGAGTATGAAGAATAATTGTACCAAGTTTCGTTAAAATCCGTCGAGTAGTTTTTGTTTCTATAAGGAACATACAGACAGACAGACAGACAGACACAAAAAAGGACATCATCCACGTTTCATATATTTTTGGTCCAAAATCAAAAGTGCCGGCCAACAAAAAAAAGTGCTGTATTCTGACAGAATACGTCTGCCTTAGCATTTGTTACTATGGCACCAAAGCCGTAGCTCCACTGTGCGTCGAGTATTTGAGATCTAAAAGTCATCGATTATTCATACATTTTTTGTTCAAAATCAAGTGTCGGCCAAAAAAAAAAAAGTGCTGTGTTCTGACAGAATACGTCCGCCTTAGCATTTGTTACTATGGCACCAAAGCTGTAGCACCACTATGCGTCGAGTATTTGAGATCTAAAATTCATCGACAATTCATACATTTTTTGTTCAAAATCAAAAGTGTCGGCCAATAACAAAAAGTGCTGTCTTCTGACAGAATACGTCCGCCTTAGCATTTGTTACTATGGCACCAAAGCTGTAGCACCACTGTGCGTCGAGTATTTGAGATCTAAAATTCATCGACGATTCATACATTTTTTGTTCAAAATCAAAAATGTCGGCCAGTAAAAAAAAAAGTGCTGTATTCTGACAGAATACGTCCGCCTTAGTATTTGTTACTATGACACCAAAGCTGTAGCACCACTGTGCATCGTAGTATTTGAGATCAAAGTCAGTCGTTTCATATATTTTTAGAGCTCAAATACTACGCTGCACAGTGGTGCTACAGCTTTGGTGCCATAGTAATAAATGCTAAGGCGGACGTATTCTATCAGAATACAGCACTTTTATTTTTTGGCCGGCACTTTTGATTTTGGACCAAAATGGATGATGTCCTTTACTGATTGCATTTTTGGCATCAGTATCGATCACTAATTACCCCCTGATAGTTATTTTGAACATATATTTCATGTACAGAATTGACCTTTCTACAGATTTATTATAAGTATAGATTCATGATTCCCTTTGTTACTTACTAATACCTAAACATCAAGGCAGTATTTATTTACTATTATTCTGTTTAAACTATTATTCTTTTATTAAATATACAGCGATTTTATAATAATAAGCCCGAGATAGCTGGGTTTAATAAAACTAAATATCTACTCAAATCAAAGGGATCCCGTTAAAGTAAGAACTTTCATTCAAAATTACTTTCAAAGTTCTAGGAACATTATTTAATTTTTGTCATCTCATATAGCGGGGCTCTTTATTACTTTACAATTTACATTAACCTTTGTTTTTATTATTTTATTATTTCTTTAAAATAAGCTTGAGTTAATTTGCACCTCCAAACTAAAGAATGTTAAAATAGACTTGCAAAAAACGTAAGTCTTTTGTACCTATTATAAACACAGGTTTTAGAGATTAGTTACTAAATTCATTGGTCCAAACAAATGAAAAGTCATTGATTTTGAATGTTTTTATTGTAACGGCTGTTAATTTAAGTAGTTAAATAAATAAAAAATTCACATTAAAGTATGATTGAATACTGTAATAACAACTTTATTCGACTTTATTAGAGCCTATTTTGTCATTTTTTACATTAATAGGGGTAAAAACGTCTTGTTCTCATGCGGTACAATCCCGATCTGAAACCAAAATCCCATGGTTAGAAAAAGTTTAAAGAATTAACGAATAAAATTTGTACTGAGTGGAAAAAATTACCATTAAAAAAGTATTGTTAATGTTATCAAGATAGAAAAATCAAAAAGTTATTCTCATTTCCTGATTTCAATGAAAACTATCTGATGCTGAAAAGATGCAACTACTATCACCTATGCAACAACTTACCCAGTCTTGTTCAAGTCACTGTTGCCCATGTTGAGATTTTGGCCACGGCAAGTGCCCAGCGTAACTTGCAGGTAGTTGGAGCACTGCCTTCCCACGAGGTGGTCATGAGTAATTGTGGATGCAAAGAACCTCCAGGCTCTATTGTGGTTGCAGAAGTTGGTGAGACAGCCAGGCTGGCTGTTTCCACCGTTAGGGAAGAAGTCGGCGTCTCCAATCGCATAACCGATGCCAATGCTCGCAGACAGACCACCATCTGTATGGATTCCTTCAACGTACTGACCGTCGTTTCGGCTGATCTTGTTGGAGTTTAGGTTCCATAGTAATCCGGCGGGGTCAAGACCTGTGAATAATAATAATGGATAAACTTCTTCCTTACTTCCTATAAAGGGACTGTTAGAATAATTAAAAACACTAAAGAAAATCATTCGCGTTTTTCATCTCCCTCTTCTTATAGAAACTCCATTAAGTCCAAAGCACATTACAATAAATATTTTTGTAGTGAAATCACACCAACCACAACAGTATAAGACTTAACGAGTTAAGGTTAATATGTTGTCCTCCTTAAAATATCGGTGAGGAGAACAAACAGCGACAAAGTAAAAGAGAAGCACTGGATGAATATAACGACATTATTTTAAGTACGTACCAGTGACACGAGCAACCTTTCCTCCCAACTCCCTTCCAGCATTTCCAACGAGATGGGCTCCCAAGCTGAACCCAACCAGGTGCATTTTCTCATACGGAGCATTGGCTACTTTGTTCAAGAAGGCCAAGAATCTGCCAAGCTGACGGCCTGCTTCAGGAACTCCTCTGGTGGCTGTGACGTAGCCAGAGACTGCCAGGCTCCGCCAGTCAACGGCGATGACGTTGGCAGGTCCCTTCGATAAGAATGCTGGAATGACAAAACCATTTGAAGGGTCACACTATGCTCTGTTACAGCCACATTATTAGAGGCACTTTGCAAGTTTAAGTTTCGCACTAAAATTATTTGATTTTTTTTGTAACTATCACAGCCAACACCTATACAAAACTGTGTCGTTTCTTATCATTATAACTCATTAATCGTAGCCGCATAGCAATTAGATTAATCCTTATAATCAGAGGTTAATTGATTTCACTCAAAAAATATGAGATACTCGTAAGATAGATAATATTTTAGTGTTACCATATTATAGACTGCTGACATCAACATCTTTTAGACTAGGCGCAGACCACCGATTTTTAGGTGGCCGATAGTTGTGCCCAATTTTAAATTATATGAAAAAAACGGCCAAATCAAATCGGTGTAATGTGCGCACTTCCATACATGCCCATACTGATCAACTGCCCGACTAAATTATCGGCCGACGAAAAATCGTTGGTCTGCGCCAAGGCAAAGGTTAAGCAGGGGAAAGTGATCTAGAAACAATTTTATGTTCTTAGAGGTCTTGGTGGACGCTGATTTAACACAACTTGAAATACATATCTAGCAAAAAATCATACAGACCGCCTTCTGCCTTCACAAGAGTAGCAGTAGAGTGATCAAGTAGACTTGAATCAAACAGTTTTTGTTAAAGAAGTTGAAATCTAATGGCAGAATAATCTGTGAAATTGAGCCAAGTCACATGATAAGAAGGATATTATGAACAATACATACCTTCTCGCACCTGTGTGTTCATGCCAGAGTCCTGATTCCCGAGCCAGCCATGTACCACTACAACTGTCGGCGCATTCGGGTCAAAGTTTGATGACAGAATAGATTCTACATTGTTCATTTCCAGATTTTGTCCCTCTGACGGATTTTCTCTGCAATAGTAGACATGAGAAATTAACAGTGTGATTATGACTTTCTTACACCTACCTTAATTTGTACAATGCATTGTAGCTGTTACTAAAGTATTTAGTTTTATCAAACTATGAACAGACCACCCAAGAGAAGATAGTCTTGGCGCCTTAGAATGAGTAGGGCCGATCCCAAACGTAATGGAAAAAGAAGAATAAGCAGAAGAAGTTGTGGGTATTTAGGCAAAAGTAACAACGTAATTCAATACATAGATAAGATTTAATACACATTGGTATTAAAAAGTAAACATATAAATTATGTACCTTGTGAACAAAACGCATCTATCAATATAACTATCCAGACTGTCCAAAAGATCCTCATCAACCTCCTCTTCTAGATCAATCGTCTTTTGAAGACCATTTTCGTCAGTGTACTGGACGAATCTCGAGTATTCTTGCTCGGGGAAATCGGATAGTGGTACAGCCCACGCGGCGTTTGCTATAAAAATAATGTAAAAATAAATAACAATGTTCTAATAAACAATTTACTTCTCCGCAATGAATGCCAATACATAGTAGATACGACCACATAATGAAAAATTTGATTCACATCTTATGGCGGCGACAAATAGCTTTGATAGACCTTTACAATAGGTACCTACCACCTATTTCTTGTGGATGGCACACTTAGGACATTTTAGGGTTATGTTAAAAACCCGATACCTCAGTAAACTATTAATGTAGGACAGGATATCCTGCTTGATGGACTGACGATGAATTTGTCTGGATGAAAAGAGCGGGAGATAGTACTTTATAGCGTTCTTTGGGAAGGTATACGTCCAGCAGCGGACTGACATAGGCTGAAATGACCTGCATGCGTTTAGCTATCATAAAACACACATCATGAAAAGGAAAGAAGAAAGAATGAGGAAAGGGATAACAACCTAACATGCATGCGTGATAAGAGCACATAACGCAAAAAATACCTTAAATAAAAAAAGGTATAAGATTTCAATTAAGTATTAAATTAGAAAACAAAATTATAAATAAGTGATAATACTTACCAGCCAAAGCCGCAAGTAGTAAAGAAAATAGCACTATCTTCATGGCCGCTTTGTACTATGCTGGTTACCGCTAATGGCTAAGTTATCAATCAGACTTTTATTTATAGTAATAGATAGTTGCTGCAAAAATATTTTTGACGCAAATAATACTTATCTATCTGACGCATTTATAATTAATGATAATAACAAAAATATGTACTATTTTATAGGTGATTCCTACGTGCCTGGAATGGTATACTTACATACTCATAGATCCTACTAATATCCTACTTCCTACTACTAATAACTTATTCGACAAAGTCACCTTTGAAACGATTTGTTATAAAAATCGGTTTATCTGCGGTTTGCGGGCTACGAGACCACAGTTAAGACATACAAATCTACAAAAACAGTTATAGATTGTAACTGTCTAGTTAACTACGAAAATGACCACTGAAAACCAGCGTCGTTGGTGCTACGCACTGCGGAATTACGCTGAGTGGAAGCCTAATTGGCATCATTTTCAAATTAATTATATATTTAACGTATTAAGTTCTGTAATTTGTTGTTTTTAGTGAGCCAAATAAATGTATTTTCTTTCTTTTTCTTTTTTCTTTCACCTGGCAGCCGTGACCACACGTTCTGGTACAGACGGAGCATGTGCGGGTAACTGGGAGGAAGATTCAGCAAGATTGTACACATTCTCCATCGGATTGTACACACGTCGCAATAAAAATACCTAACTTTGATTTAAAATAAGTAGGTAAATTAGCATTATGCAAAAATACAGATAACGTAGTCTTTAGTATTTATCGGTATCTAATTTTGATTTTTAGATATCGGTTGGCGTCATATCGTACAAATGGATTTGATGACTGATATCGTTTAACGTCAATAAAGTATTTTAATAATCTGTTTATTTTTAAAAATAGGTAGATAGGACTGGCTTACACCGTGGTGTTTGAACTATAACTTCATTTTAATTATGCTAACTTAAGGGATACATTGTTTTTAGTCCGTATCTTTAATAAATGAATGTATTCATTTATGGATTTATTGTCAGTTAAGTGATTAAATATAAATTAATATGGATAATTGCGGCCAGTATTCAGACGATAAATTCCGCTCCTGAAAGTAAAACAGTTAATTAAAACAATATTAATTAGCCTGAAATACTAAAATAATTAACATTTGTTCTTTTATTTGCTCCACTGTCTGTCATATTGTGCATTTTGTTTTTATTATTCACTACTTCAAGAGCTGCAAGGTCTATTGTGTCAAAATGAAAAAGCAAATTAATAAACTTCTTAATAAACTCACCCAGTCTTCTGCAAATCATCATTGCCCAAAGGCAGCTCGCTTCCTCTACAAGAATCCAGTTTCATTTGAGTCAGTCCCGAACATTTCTTTCCAACTAAATTATCATTATTGATAGAAGCTGCAAACAGCTCATAGGACCTGCTATGATCGCATAAAGCAGTGAAGCATCCTGGTTGCTTAGAACCTCCGTTAGGGTAGAAGTCTGCATCAGCTGCGTTCTCTGATGTACCAAACGTTCCAAGGTCGGTGTGTATAGCTTCTACGTATACTGCGTCGGATGGCTTTAGGCGGTAAGGGTTGAGACCCCATAGTGGGCCAGCTGGGTCTAAGCCTGTAAAAAAGTTTTTAATTACAAAATTGGATATCATCATCATCATCATTTCATCTACAGGATAAACATATAATATGATAGGCCTCCCCCAATGACTTCCACATCGCACGGTTGGTAGCGGCCTGCATTCAGTGCCTCCCTGCTACTTTTATCAGATCTTTACGAGATCGAATCAGAAATGAAGAGATTCGTAAAAGAACGAAAGTCACTGACATTGCCCGACGGATTAGCAAGCTGAAGTGGTAATGGGCAGGGCCTAACAACCTAGATTAAGACTAGGTACATGGTGCTGTGTGAAATATCCAAACGTAATTTATAAATGTTGCAACCATTGCTGTACCATAGATAAATAAATAAATACTCACCAGTGATTCTTGCAACTCTTCCTTCCAGCTCCTTTCCAGCGTTTCCAGCCACATGAGCTCCCAAGCTATGTCCAATCAGGTGCACAGAACTAAAAGGTGTTCCCGTCAATGCATTCAGGAAATCCAAGAATTGACCAATATGTCTCCCGACTGATGGCACTGACACTACTGCTGTGACGTAGTCAAGACTGGACAGCCACCTCCAGTCTACGACTATGCCGTTGGTGTTTCTCTTTTGTAAGAGAGCTATAAAAAAGTAAAATAAAGGGTTTGAAATTGGTCTAAGACAATCATTGAGGACCAAAAAATTGCTATACATAATCTAGCAGAATCTTCAAACTAAGCCAAGATGGCTTTGGTGGCTAGATAATGGTCATACTTAAGTATATTGACATAGTCTGTCATTCCAAAGGTCTGTAGGTATTTACAGGACGTCCACTGCTGAACATAGGCTTTCCCCCAATGATTTCCATATTGCCCGGTAATTTCGTTTTTTAAAATCCTTAAGAAATTCAACAAACCTTTGGTCACCAAAGATCCGAGGCCCTGGCTTGGTTGACCTTGAAACCCGTGTATAAGCACAGCTGTTGGGTCATTTGGTTCGAAGTTGGAAGACAAAACTGAGTCCTCATCATCAAGCTCCAACCGCTGCGCAGAATCTGGATTTTGTCTAAAGAATAAAAATAATCAATTTAGGGTGGGTTCGACCAAACAAGAGGAAATATTTATCTCAGAATAAATCGTTAGTTTTTACATATTTCCCATACTGAAACTGTCAATGTGCCAGTTATACCTGTGGTTATACCAGGAGTTATTCTCGGATAAAAGTTTGCTCGAATTGGGCCTAAGACGTAAGTTATAATACTTTATGATATCGAAGAATGAACCATTAAATAGCATAAATTCCACAACATTCCTGGGAATCACTTTAGATGCTAAACTTCAATGGGGTCCTCATATTGAAACTTTGTCAAAAAGGCTCAGTTCGGCTGCTTTTGCAGTGAGAAAGATAAGGCAATTAACTGACATTGAAACGGCAAGGCTAGTATATTTTAGCTATTTTCATAGTATAATGTCATACGGCATATTGTTGTGGGGCTCAGCCGCGGACATTGAAACTGTGTTTGTTCTGCAGAAGAGAGCAGTGCGGGCCATTTATAACCTTGGACCCCGATTTTCCTTGAAAGATTTTTTTAAGGAAATAAACATACTGACAGTAGCTTCACAGTTTATTTATGAAAACCTTTTATATGTCCGCAAAAATATAGAGCAATTCACGAAAAAGAGCGATTTGCATAACTTTAATACAAGAAACAAAAATAAACTTGCCGTTCCAAATTTCAGATTGCATAAGATTGGTAATTCATTTATGGGAAAATGTATTAAATTCTTTAATAAATTACCACAAACTGTTGTAGAACTACCCATTCATTGCCCATTAAGACTCTCCTAAGTTTTCGACTTCGACGGAGTTGTGCATAAGTGGTGGGGGCCCCCGAAAGGGGCATTTTTTCGGTTTTCCGGTTATACCGCGTAAAGGACTTACCCTATCAAAAAGTGGTCTTCATGACGGTTGAAGGGCACTTAATCCTGCATTGAATAAGACCAAATTCATATGTTTTGGACAAACCGTTCTCGCGCTAAAGTTCGGCAAAGTAGAAAATATACGTATAATTAATGACCCTTCCACGTCCAATGGTTTGTTACCCACAGGCTTCCAAGTCTTGAAAAGGGCCACCTCAACCAGTGTAACCCTATCAAGGCTTACGAGCTTGATGCGTCTATCCTTGTTCGTCCCAGCGTTCCTTAACTGCGGTTGCTGCACCTCTTCCTGACACTCACCTGAACGACTCTGTGTTACCTACTGTGGCTGCCCCTCTTCCTGACACTCACCTGAACGACTCTGTGTTACCTACTGTGGCTGCCCCTCTTCCTTGTATCCTCTTGCATGACTACGTTGCCTAGCCGTATGCCTGGTCTAAGGTTCGACGCCAAAAATCAACAACAACAAGTTCATATTAAAACGCTGAAGAGTTTTTTGTTTGTTTGTTTGAACGCGCTAATCTCAAGAATTACTAGTTTGATTGAAATCATTATTTTTGTGTTGAATAGCTCATAAATTGAGGAAGGCTATAGGATATATACAATCACTCTGCGACTAATAGAGGCGAAGCAGTAAAGAAAAATGTTGCAAGCACGGAAAATAGTATTTAAACTATTTTCACGCGTACAAAGTTGATTTTGTGGCGTCGAACCTTGGACCAGGCATATAGCTAAGCAATGCAATCGTACAGGAGGGTACAAGGAAGAGAGGCAACCACATTAGGTAACACAGAGTCGTTCAGGAGAGTGCCAGGAAGAGGTGCAGCAACCGCAGTTAAGGAACGGCTGGGACGAACAAGGATAAGCGAATCAAACTCGTGAGCCTTGTTAGGGTTACACTGGTTAAGGCGACCCTTTACAAGGCTTGGAAGCATGTGGGTAACAAGCCATTGGACGTGGAGAGGGTCATTAATTATACACATATTTTCTACTTTGCCGAATATTTGCACGAGAACGGTTTGTCCAAAACATATGAATTTGGTCTTATTCAATTCAGGATTAAGTGCCCTTTAACCGCCATGAAGACCACTTTTCGATAGGGTAAGTCCTTTACGCGGTATAACCGGAAAACCGAAAAAACGCCGCTTTCGGGGGCCCCCACCACTTAAGCACAACTCCGTCGAAGTCGAAAACTTAGGAGAGTCTTAATGGGCAACCAATGAAGCCATTAAAGCAAAAAAATCTTTTGTAGGATTTATTTCCGATTTAATCAATTTTTGTGTTTAATTCTACTGGCCTATTAATGAAAAAGGGCTACTATAAAGTCGATGATTATTTAAAAGATAAAAATGTTTGGGATACGTTACTGCCTAGCTTGCATAAATATTTATGACTTTGTACATTTTAAAGCATGTAAACCTTTGAAAAAGAGGCTGACAATAGTGACTGAGTTTCTTGCGCTGCTTCTTCTCAGCACTGGTCCATTCATTGTCCTGAAGCAGTGGTAGGGTTAATACCGGGACGTGTAAAAGTGCTTTTTTTAAGCCTATTTACAGAAATAAATGAGTTTTTTTAAAGAGAGAGAGTTTTTGATGAGATAATGAATTGAACTTGTAAGTACAAACATACTTCAAACAATTTATTAGCTTTGTTATATTTTATACGAGTATTTTAGTACGACGTATCTATAGCTGAAGTGGCAATGGGCAGGGCACATAGTACGTAGAACTGACGGCCAATGGGGCAGCAAGGTTCTGGAGTGGAGGCCGCGTACCGGAAAACGCAGCGTGGGACGTCCACCCACAAGGTGGACCGACGACATCATAAAGGTAGCAGGAAGGCGCTGGACGCAGGCCGCTACCAACCGGGCAACATGGAAAGCAAGCCTATTTTCAGCAGTGGACGTCCTATGGCTGAGATGATGATGATGATGTATCTATAGCGTAAGGTGGAATTATAAATCTTTGTTTCGTCCAAACAAATGCGGATGTAACTATAAATATACTTAATATCAACAAAACAGATTTTGGTTGCTAATTGAGATAATAATTTCTTTAGATAATGAAGTTCCTGGTTGAGTAAATCTTTATCATATCATATTTACAAGATAACAAATCCGCTAGCTTATACAGGATGGGTTTTTTTTAAGTTTTATTTTGCAACTTACCTGGTACTTATGTACGGGATTATTCCCACCTCTCGTTCCCAACGCTGCAACTCCTGTGTAGTCAGTATCTACAGCTTGACGGCCAATTAAAGCCCAACCAGTGAAGGTCAAGTTTGTCCCGGGGGAAAGTTAAACCGTCATTGCGAAATTAATCAGAAGAACATAGAAGGAGTTCGAAGTTCTTACCTGGTGTATAGTAAGTATCGGTTAACATCAACACTTCTTTTCGCTCTTTCCGATTTCTTGGATTGTGGTTTTGCTCCCAACTCTTCAAGTTGAGTTCCATCCCATTCCACTGGAATTTCAACGAATCGACTGGATGATGATGATGATGAGCTACTGATTGGACCAGCTACAGCTAAAGCTTGAAATTGAATGAAATAATAATGAAAATGTATAGGCCATATAAAAAGATAGAGAATAAATCCGAGTCGTTTAAAAAAAATCTTGCTCACAATAATAATTTAGAAATGTAATAAGCCAGGTGTCTCACTTCTATTTATAGTTTACATGCAATTGGACCTGCTCTCCTATCAACAGCAATATTCTTGCAAAAGTTTGAATGCATTTTATATTTTTAAATGCTCCTAGGAAAACTTCGCCGCAACTCCGACTATTGTAACCACTAGACCGAAGAGAAAATATTTTATTTCAAATATAAATTAAACACTGAGGCTGAGTTGCACCACCTAATTTTGACCGTAACTTTCACGTTAACCGGTTTTTTTGTATGGAGTTTGACAGATTTTTGACGTTTGTCAAAGTTTATAAAAGAGCACACTCTATAAAAATATTAATTACTTGCTAATGTGTGTGGTCACATTTAATTTCTTTTTGTAGATAGTTCGCAAGATAAATTATCTACACGAAAATACCATATCTATTATTTATTAACAATAATTCTCATTATTTTAATCAATCCATCAATTACACTCGTACTTACAAGGATTAGCTAAATAGCTCCGGTTTTGTTAAGCACTTTAAAGATTTTAAATTGATCTAAGTATAGTGCTAAATACATATTACAATACCTGCTATTGACAATATTATAAGCTCGTGCTTCATAATTTTGAACGTGGTAACAGGTACTATTTTAACTATCAGTTAAAGTTGGAGACATATCAAGACGCAACATCAGTATTTAAATATTTCAATAGAAAATGCATTACAATTATAATTGTCTTTTGATTCATTCATTTATAGTGTGATATTTTACAATCATTCGTCAATTTCATAAAACAAAATAAATGAAAATTGTCATAATAACAAAACATGAAACAAAACACGGTCTCAAAATGATAAATGTTATAAATACGAGTTGAATAACAGAACAAATGAAGTTTATATATTTAACCAACTCGGGCAAAAGTTAGCTTCTTTTGCTTTACTATGCTATTCAAGCATTCTGAAGAGTGAACCTCGGTTAAAGTTCCCGTGGGACTACTTGCCCTTCATTGCTGAGATTTGTATTAAACTTGCAAAATTGAAATGAACGATAAGATTCCTTTTTATTCGCCATCGGCCTTTTTCGTAAACTTCTGGCATGATAGATTTGTCAAAATAATTATTTTGAAAAATAAAAATCTCGTTTTTTTATTGACGTTTTCGCTATCGTTTTCAAAAGTAAGGATGGAGCTTACTATAAAATTTAAATTAGGCACTAAAAGTAAGAGTAGGCGCACACCGTTGATTTTTATTGGCCGATAGTTGTGCCCGATTTTAATTTAAATGAAGAATCGGCCAAATCGAATCGACGTATTGTGCGCACTCCCATACATGCCCATACTGTACCTCTAGTACGAAAAACTTTCGAGTTCGTTTCGTTGCGTATTCAAAGTGTCAACGAAAAATTTTGTATGAAAAATTAAACAGCGCCCCCTATATTATAGCCGCCCTAGGGGGCGCTGTTTAATTTTTCATACAAAATTTTTCGATGACACTTTGAATACGCAACGAAACGAACTCGAAAGTTTTTCGTACTAGAGGTACTGATCAACTGCCCGACTAAACTATCGGTCGACGAAAAATCAACGGTGTGCGCCTACTCTAAGCTTTTCGAAACATTCCTAAAAAGGTGGTCGTAAGATTTTCTAGTTAATTGCTAAGCTTTTTATTTTATTTTAAACAAAGAAAAAATATTAGTGAAACTTTTTAACTGCCATATTGGGGTACAGGGCAATATACCTAGCTCGTCGTATTTTTTTTATTTTAAAAAGTAATGACAAATAATATACAAAAAACTCTATCGAGTAAGTAATAAATCCCGGTAGAGACACTTGAAATGTGTTTCTAAATCCATTATACATAGTGACAACAATAAATCTCTTGCCCTTTGTTCTATCATAATAATTTTGTAGTACTAAACTCAAAGGCAGCTGAAGAAAAGGTCTAGAACAATGAATATGACGCCTTTATTTTAACGATATAGTAATAGCATTTGTATTAGGAACAAACGACAGCACATCAAGTTATACGTTTTTGTAAAATGGCATTTGTTATCACTTCTATACCACGTTATTTTAATTACAAATGCCGTCTTTTGTGCGAAGATCCGATCAGTCCAAACCACTGGACGGATCGGGCTGAAATTTGGCATGCAGATTGATGCTATGACGTAGGCATCCGCTAAGAAAGCATTTTACGAATCTCCACCCATAAGGAGGTAAAACGGGATCCTCGCGTATAAAGTCGCCGGCGGCCGCTAGTTAAGTAAACATAATATAAAATTCTGACTCGGACATTGTGAATGTGCAGTTAATTTTGTTATCACTGCGCTACTTCTCAAGTCAAACCCAAAACAGTAGGTCATAAAGATATAGGTAACTATTAGTATGTGATTTGATCGAATGTACATCTAAATTCTAAAACATACAGATAATGTTATGCATTTTAGAGGCACTAGTCGTGGAAATAAGAAGGATATCACTTGCTATTGCAATCGTTCTGGAGTAGCCAAGATCTGCAGTTTGACAGTTACTGTATCCTAACAAGAAATCGAACTGACTGAAAAATATTAAATTAATCAATACACTCAAATTCAAATTCAAAATCAAATTCGTTTATTTCTTTAACTTAGCCTAGCTCAATTACAAGTTGTTGCAACAGATGTTACTTGTGCTAGGAGGCACCGCTCTTCCATAAAAAAACAGTAGGTAGGCAAATTTATTTTTTATTGCGTTTAGTGTGGATAGAAGAAAATAAATAAGTACACTTTATAATATTTTACAAGTGAAAATTTAACAAGTGATTAGGTACAAGTGAAAAAATTAAAATTAAAGTTAAATTAATGCAAAAATACTAATTAATACTAGAATCCAGGTAAAAGATATACACTGGTCATGAAGCTGATGAGAGTAGGTACTAAAAACATATAATCTTATCGCCAAAAGAAAGGCGAGTAAAAAAATATTAAATCAGTTTTTATAAGAATAATAAATAATAAAATTTTATCGCCTACCTGTTAAATCTGTGCTGCACTTTAGTGTGTAGATAACATTATACCCCTACTGTGTTTTAAAGCCTAGATAATGTCATGTAACCCACTTCTTATCATGTTGCATAAGGATTGTTTCTGAGATTATATAAAATATCTACTAATAATCGCACGTACATCACGTATGATTTAATGAACCGATTATGATTAGATAAGTTATTTGCAGCAAAACAAAAACGATGATACATTATGTTTCAGGTCCGGTTTTCATTAAGGCGGAGCGAAACGGAGAAGTGTTTTTCCGCTCCTCTCCGCTACGCTCCTCTCCGCTCCGTTCCTCTCCCTTCAGTAATGGTGAAAAACGGGCATTGTCCATTTAACATGCAAAATGTAGAAAAGAGATTTATTTAAGAAACTTTATTCAAGCTTTGTCAATTAAAAATTTATAGATTAAATTAAATAACATTTCGTTAATACAAAAAAATGAAGTTAATAGCTACTGACCTTTATTGTACTTATTAATCTGTGGTTTCCCGGGGCAATACATTTTTTCCAAGAATTTCTTCAATTTATTTAATTGATATTTTACTGCGAACATCGTTTTGCTTAACGAAACTAGTATTTCTATACCATAGACTCTATGGCAGGGTATTTCTCATCGCCACGGTTCTCATCGTCACCTTCGTGGCGAATTTTATTTCTAACTTATTTCAACTTTTTGTAAACAAAAATTATAGCGCTTGATGTGAAGATTGTTTTCTCAGTAAATCAGTCAAATAGTGAGTCTCGTTTGGAAGCTTTAACGTTTTGAATTTTTTGATGCCACGAAAGTGATTCTGTACTTCACAGCAATAATTTTTTCAAACGTTACAACTGTAAATGACTCTTAAGTGTTTATAAAACATATGTTTTGTCTTATTTTCATAGATAAATAGCAAGAACTTAATATAGGTACCTACTTAAATACAGGATAAAACTTTACCGATTACGTCACCTACTAAGTTACAAGATTCTACGCAATTGGTTTTAAGGGTGACACTGGTGGCATTCTGAAATGCTAAAGAAGCAAAAAACGGATTATCAGTACCTCAATAAAAAGGAACTCTAACTGATTATCAGTCCCTCAACAAAAATATTTTTTTTATTTAGGCCAGAGGGCCTCGTATTTTTGTTGTACAACTTTAAACTCAAACTTCAGATTAATTTTATCTTACAAACAGATACACAGTCACATATACAGACATCCTAATTTTTTGTGTGATTATTTGTCTGTATATCAAAATTGTTTGTTTTCCTAATATAAATAAATAAATAAATACATACTGTCATATAGACAGACAACAAAAATACGAGGCCCTTATTTATTTATTGATGTACTGATCTCTACTTACCACGTATAATTTATTAGTTATTAAAATATTGTAAAAACATAAACACCAGTCACTATATTTTAAAATAAACCAAAGCAAGAAATCACTTTCGTGGCCTAAAATCACCTTCGTGTATAAAACACCACGAAGGTGATGCCACGAAAGTGACGAAAATTTTAGTTTTTTATGAATTATTCTTAAATTTGAATTTAACGGTTCAAGTTGAATACTACACAAATAAGTCTCACATGTTAAGTTTTCAATGGCAAAGTTTCAATTAAATTGTTTAAATTTTAAAGGTAGAAAATATTGTTCAAGAAAGCGACGGTATGTCTATGGATAATCACAAAAAGTTACGTATTTTTTTCGCGGAACGACGATCGACCTACCTCACCTCCCCAATGGTTGAAGCGCGACTGACGTTAACCGAATAGAACGCTGTGATTGGTTGCTGGTGTTCGGTTTAACGGCAATCTTGTATTATTACTCAAAATTTTAGGTACCTAAAATCGTGTGACCAACGTATTTCGCTTTCTCAATTCAAAATAATTATAAGAAGATATTTTTTTGACTATTGTGTGGAAAGTATATTTAATTACGATGATTTTAGTATATGCTACACACAAATTGAATGAAAATTGTGAATGCAGTAAACAAAAGTTTCATTGCAACCGAAGGTGTGACACGATGAGAATGCGAAAAATGACCCCGTTTTTTATCGTTTCATGTGATTTTTTCGTATTATTTTTGCTTCTATTACGATAA